CGTATGTTAAATCAATATTTCTTTAAACTCATAGGTTTGTCTCCCTTATTAACTGAACCAGTATGTCCAGCTACTTACTGGAAAAGCCAGTTACGGTCGGCATCATCTGTCAACCTGTCATAGAAAACTCGAAACACCTCATGAACCCACAACCTGCAATCATATTTTTAAAGTTGATCTGTAAAGTGAACAAGTTTGACCATTAAAATAAAATATTATCCCCCAAAGTTAAAGGATAGACATATGACCACTGGATTTTTCTTAACCTCCTCGGCCAAATGTCCTTAACTTCTTGACCACTTATTACACAGTCTCCTCTTGAATCCTTCACAGACTATTCTGGGTCTCTTAATAGCCTCCCTCTGGACACATCATTTCCATAGCCTAGCTTTTGTCTCAAAGCCTTCCCTGGGAGCCTTCATAGCCTAGTCTAGTGCTTTCCAAACTGTGTGTCATGACACAGTAGTGTGTTGCCTGCCGGTTGTAGGTGTGTCGTGCAAAAATAAACCACACTAACATTGATGACCTTTTTAGACTTAAAAACCCACTGGAAATGAAATAAGAAAAGTTAATAACAAAGTGCTGCAAATGAACGGGAAATTATATTGAAAGCAGACTTCTTCCATCAAGGTTATTTTCTTAATATTTTTTTAGAAAAAGGGGTCTTAATTTAAAATTTGATACAACAGACACGTTGGCCCTGATGCAGACGGTTGCCTATCATGTAAAGGATTGAGGGAAATTTAGAAAAGTATGCCAAGAGAGCCGAGTGCTAGCTTAAATTTGATAATAGCTGGCTTATTGTGCACCATAGGACATTGCTGTAATAGCTGGCTTACTGTGCACCATTGGACATAGCAATAATAGCCTGCTTATTGTGCAGCAATGGACATTGCTATAATACCTCAGTAAACAAGAAAATCTAGATACAATCAATGAAAATGGTGTGTTTAAGGGCATAGAAGCCAGAAGGTCTCAGCTTGTGTTAAAATCTAATTTTTAAAAATTTAAATTGTATCACAACATCTTATGTTCCAATGTATTATCAACTAAATTCAAGCACCATCGGCGGGCTGGATGAACTGACGTCGTGGAGTGGAGTTTGGTGACCCCTGCCATATACGTTAGTTTAACCTCAAGTATACTGATAAAATCAACTTGCTGTATTGCGAAATGATGTGTCTAAAAAAAGTGTCATCAAAATGAAAAGTTTGGAAAGCACTGTCCTGGTCAGATCTCCTAAATGCCTCCCTTGACTCCCCCCGAATGCCCACAAGTCAAATAAGAACAATATTTCAAAAAATTTCCTTGACCTACCGAGCAAAGGCAACTTTTTCCAACATTTCGTTTTTCTTAATAAGACAGACCCCGAGAATGACCCGAGAAAAGTCTCTCAAGTTGAAGATGTAGTGAGACTTGTTGGGTGTGGGCAGAAGGTTGGCCGTGGCATCTTTATAGACTTCCATTGTACTGAGGACGATGTACGGCGCTTGGGAGACATAGTCCATGCTGAAATCTTCTTGCTGCAGTAGGATAGGTTCAACATAACAATGTCAGAATAGACCAATCAAATCTAGACAAGTGTAAAAACAGAGGTATCTAATATAGACCATTTAGATAGCTTTTTATTACCTCAGTATGATACTTTTAACTTATTCTTGCTAAAGTATGACACTTTTAACTTATTCTTGCTGCAGTATGATACTTTTAACTTAGTCTTGCTGCAGTATACAATTTTTAACTTATTCTTGTGGCAGTAGGATACTTTTATATTATTCCACTACAATGATACACTGTTAACTACTCCACCCTTCTTTTCTTACAAAATATTTTTTGGAATAATCAAACCTAATTTAATTGTTATTTACATAAAAACTGTTATTGTTTCACAATTAGAGGTCTTACCTTGAGATTTGTCACCCTTATTGTTCAAAAGTTGAGATATGTCAAACCTCTATTGTTCTAACCTTGACATATGTCAAAACTCTATTGTTCTTACCTTCAGGTGTGTCACTATAATGGTGTTGAAGATTTTTACCATCGTTTCATCACTGAAGGGATTCATAGATATTATGGTAAAATGACGTGTGAATCTTTGAGTGACAGAATTCCTTGCGCCTCCTGGTGGTGCCATAGCAGCAATGAATTGTAAGTCTATCAGAGTTATCTTTGAGGTGTCTTTGAGATCATACCTATTTGAGATAGGCAGAACTGTTGAGATCATGCTTATATGAGATGGGGAGAACTGTTGAGATCATACCTACATGAGATGGGGAGGGAGAATTGTTGAGATCATGCCTACGTGAGATGTGGAGGCATAATTGTTGAGATGGGAAGGGAGAATTGCTTACATCATACCTACATGAGATAGGGAGAATTTTTTAGATACTATCTACATCAGATGGGGAGAATTGTTGAGATTATATCTACATGAGCTGGGAAGGGATAATTGTGGAGATCATACCTACATGAGATGTGGAGGCATAATTGTTTAGATCATACCTATATGAGATGGGAAGGGAGAATTGTTTAGATCATACCTACATGAGATAGGGAGAATTGTTGAGATTATATCTACATGAGCTGGGAAGGGATTATTGTGGAGATCATACCTATATGACATAGGGAGGGATAATTGGTGAGATCATACCTACATGAGATGGGAAGGGAGAATTTTGGAGATCATACATACATGAGTTTGTGAGAATTGGTGAGATCATACCTACATGAGAAAGGAGTATAGCTGAGATCATAGTTACATGAGACGGGGAGAATTGTTGCAATCATATCTACATGTTGGGGGAGAATTGTTGACATACCAATAGAGTCAAATGTCAACGACAGAGTTACTCATAAGTAAGTTAATTGTTCACTATAGAGCTATCCATCAGCGAGAAATATTAATTATAGAGCTATCCCTTAGAGGTCTTAAAATAGAAGATGGCCTTTTTTTTTAAATGACCACATCATAATTGAAGTGATGCCTATTAATTTTAGAGCAGGGGGTGTCCCATCCCCGAGACCCAAAGGCGGCATGCGGCGCAAGATGCCTATGCATGCAGGCCAACAAAATCCGGAAATGAAAAATTGTATAAGATTGTAACAAAATACCATTTATAATATTACCAAAAAAAAACTACTGAATTTATGGAAATATTAGATAAAACAAAAAATATGCAGCCTTGTTGTTTGATTCAATGACGGGATTTGTGAACAGCTTTTATTATTTCCAGAAAAAATTCAGGAAAATTCAATTTTTCTGTTTTTCGTTACTCCATTTTCAGTCAACATAAACATATCTTCTTCTTCTTATATTTGAGGGGCCCACGATCAATTTGATGATCATTCTGGCTCCTGGTTTAAATTCAGAGTTTGCCTTCTCTTAGATGGGTTTCCGTCCAAGGCTAACGAGTCCCTTCCACCCGGGGTGCTAGGGATGTTGGCTTTGGCGGGGATTGAACTCCAGACCACCAGCTATTTGGTTTGAGACAGTTTAGACCGCTCGGCCACCCATTACCTGCCAATTTTCAAATGGAATGGATGGAGCAACAATCTTACATGGATAGAGCTATATACAATCTGACACGGATAGAGCTAAACTCTGACACGGATAGAGCTAAACTCTGACATGCATAGAACTACAACCTGACAGGCATAGAGCTACAACCTAACATGGATAGAGTTACAATCTGACATGGATAGAGTTACAATCTGATATGGACACAGCTACAATCTGACATGGATCGAGCTACAATCTGACATTGGATAGAGCTAAAATCTGACATGGACACAGCTACAATCTGACATGGACACAGCTACAATCTGATAAGGATAGAGCTACAATCTGACATGATTGAGCTATGATGGAGCTACAATGTGATATGCATAGAGCTACAATCTGACATGGATAGGGCTACAATCTGAGATGACAGAGCTACAATCTGACAAGCATAGAGCTACAATCTGACATGGATAGAGCTATAATCTGACATGGATAGCACTTCAATCTGAAATGGATAGAGCTACAATATGATGTGAATTGAGCTACAATTGACATGAATCAAGCTACCATCTGACATCCATGGAGCTATAATCTGACATGCATGGAGCTACAATCTGACCATCAACTCAAAAAGACAAACATTGATTATATTGATTCCAGCTTACACTAAAAATAACATAAAAGAAGAGTTTTAAGACTTGCCTTACTTACCAGTGACCATGGTCCACAAACTGCCTCAACAATTCAATGGGAGGCTGGGCACCATAAACCTCTTTCTGTGGCATACTCATATCATCCACAAATATTATACACTTCTTTCCTGGACGTGGACCAAAGACACCCTTCCTTCTGCGATCAAGTTTAGACATGATGATATCCTGCAGATTAAACAATCAAAATATCAAGCTAAGTTATTGAAATTATTTTAGGTACACTGGAAAAATGTTAGGTACACTGAAATTATATTATATACCCGACACTAACCTATGTTATGTACACTGAAACTTCATTTTGTACACTGAAACTATATTATATACATAAAACTATGGTAAGTTATGTACAGGGAAATTATGGTACGTTATTTACAGTGAAATTATGGAAAGTTATGTACAGTGAAACTATGGCAAGTTGTGTACAGTGAAACTATGGTAAGTTGTGTACAGTGAAATTATTGTATATTATGTACACTGCTATAACAAGATGATAAATAAATATGTAGAAAAAATAACATTTGGCCTGCATAGGGTTCAAAGGATGACCTAACAGGGTGAAAACCCTGACCTTATAGGGTTCAATCCACGACATTTGTATTATTACCATTAGCACTGCTCTAGCCTTGGTCTTACTAGCATTGTTCTCAACTGGGTCTTACCCGGCTTTGATTAGCACTTCTCTTGCCTTGGTCTGACTAGCACTGTTCTCACCTGAGTGTTACTAGCATTGCTCTCACCCGGGTTTGATTAGCACTGCTTTCATATGGGTTTGATTAGCACTGCTTTCACTTCGGTCTTATTAGCACTGCTCTCACCTGGGTCTGATTAGCACTGCTCTGAGCAGAGAAGGTAATGATAGATCCTATGTACTTGTCTTGGGGAAGATCGCTCATCATTTTCTTGGACACGTAGGCACTTTTACCCGTCCCAGTTGGACCGACAAACAGTAGTGGCCTGGAAGTAAAATAAATAGCAAACCTTGCCAAGAAGTGACTCTGTTCCAGACCTGTTTACCCTCAAACCCCTAAAATCGTACAATCTGGTCTCAAAATCGTACAATACAATATCTCAATAGTAAATAAATAAAAATACAGTAACACAATAAAGTCTATTATGTAACTCCCCCCCCCCTTTCGTTGCACGCAGAAGTTTTTACGCCCCCCCCCCTTTTCCCTCAATTACAATAATAAAAAATTAGCAAAGTCCATTACATATTATGTTACAGTAAACAAAATGTGACACGAGTTTTCACCCCTGTGATTCGTCCAGCCCAGTGGTTCACATAATATATGCTACATCGGACTACATCGCCCTGGGTGCTCGCTGCCCTTGGGCAGGGCCATGAGAATATAACGAAGAGCAACCGCGTGAAAATCGTCTATAGAAAGGAACTTAAACAGTCTATTCAACTATAAAAAAAACCCATTTACACAAAGATTAAGGGCGCAATAAATTGTCCTTTTTAAATGGGGGGGGGGGTGTGTGTGAAAATTTTCTAAATGGGCTGCTGCGGCTTTCTCACAGGGGCGTTGCGAAATATTTAAAACATTTCATAATTTTATTTTTACTTTTAATCCAATGTGACATCTTTCGGTCCAGTTACCCAGTTGAGTATGTACTGTTTGTAGCTACAGATGGCGGTCAGTGACCTACATACGTGTTATATTTATTTTTATCCCACCCTTTGTTTTATTTTGGTATTCGCTATGTCCAAATGCACTTGTTAGAATGTCACACAAGGCGCCTGGTGAAAACCTAATATTGCACAGGCGCCGGAAAACAAATATTTTAGAACCACTGGCGTAGCCCAACGAAATACACGTCATGCGCGCGTTGAACATTCGGTAGACTTAACACCGTACTGTAATTCTTCCACTATTGAGTATAGCTCGCTAGTTGATTTGTGAAAATACCCCTTGACAAGATCACGACTCTAATGCCTACTACACATTGGCTGGTAGTTGACACCATTCGAGATAGAAATGTTAGTTTTGGACTTTCAGAGTTTCGGGATGAATGTTGCAGAAATGTTTCAATAACGCACGACGCACATACTTTCTGCCGAGGCCCACCCCCCACCCCCACGCACAAACATACCCGAACTGTCATTACGAAAATCTGGCGGTGTTGAGTATATAAATTGAAATACTTAGACCGGCTCCATGCACACAATCTCTTAAATCAACACCACTCCTTTTATCTCTGATTGATTGCTAATGAAAAGTCCGACTGTGCAGTTTGCGTCTGATGGACCCTTATTTGAAGAACGCAACTCAGTCAATTTTGTCTGACATTCAAGATAGGATATCAGCGAATAAACTTTCTTTTGCTGAATCTGATGTTAAGTTGAGGTTCCTTCTTCATCATCGGTTTCGCGTGCCTTTCATTGTGTCGATGCCATATCGTAATGTATTGTGCATGCTCAACTACGGTAACGAAAACAAAAGGCTCGCCGATTCCATTCATGGTAACATTAAAAGACCGCAATGTGCACATCCGTCTACGGAGCGCCCACTGCGTACGCCAGGGATGTTGGGACAATGGGACATCCGTCTACGGAGCGCCCACTTCGTACGCCAGGGCTGTTGGGACAATGGGACATCCGTCTATGGAGCGCCCACTTCGTACGCCAGGGCTGTTGGGACAATGGGACATCCGTCTATGGAGCGCCCACTTCGTACGCCAGGGATGTTGGGACAATGGGACATCCGTCTATGGAGCGCCCACTTCGTACGCCAGGGATGTTGGGACAATGGGACATCCATTTATAACATACTTGGTAGGCAAAATGAAATGTACAAAATATTCATAACCCCCCCCTCCCCACCTTGTCAACGTAAAGCTATCCAACTATTACGTCCACGCTGAGGATGCGCATGGCAGCTTTGATGGGAAAGTGGGGTGGTGGGGGGGGGGCAGACTGCACCTACATTTATGCATGAATTCTTCAATGATTATCCTGACAGTCTCTTATGGAGCCAACTGTCACCTGAAAATCTGTGAAGGCCATGAATTCCAATTAGGCCCATTATTAATTATTAGTATTAAGGCTATAAAACATCACCACAGTGTTTCGCAGTTATCGTTTACTAATGCTTTGTGTTTTCATCAAGAAATCACTGTAGCAGTAATATGGTGACAACACGTCTTTCCGTGCTGTGACGTCATTGTTTCCAACCATCCCCCACCCTCATTACGGTGAAAAAACTGTGCCGTCGCCTACCCATAAGGCGCTTGACCGTTAACACGCTTTAGTCCAGTGGTGGGCAAACTCATTAGTAAAAAAAACCCCACCAACAGGGCAATTAAAATTTGTTTGAGAGCCAAATTGTTTTTCAAGAACCTGCCAAGAACCATGTTTTTGGGAGTCAAAACCGTTTGTGGCTGGCTGACCGAGCAGCACTCAGGTCACTCAAGAGCCGCATGCGGCTCGCGAGTCGCGCTTTCCAGATCACTGTTATAGTCTAACTACTGCAAGCTGTATAAAAAATTTAATAAAAAAAAAGGGGTGGGGGGGTAGTAGTAGTAGTGATCAGTGATTATTTCAGAAACCCCCCCCCCCCCAATGCACTTCAGATTTTTCGGGGAGGGGGGGGCAGTGCCAGCATTGACAGTTATTTATTGTTGGACATATTTTTGCTCTGTGTGGTGGGCGGGGGGGGGGGGGGGGGGGGGGGGGTGCTCACTTGGCTTAGCCCGGGAGAGCGGCAGTGCCCCCCCCCCCCGAGATTTAGCTGAAAGAAACCCTGGTAGTGAAACCAAACTGTTGTATTAAAATCGTAGAAGGCGTAGAGCTGATTTGCGAGTTATACAAGTATTTTGTAAATGTCGCTGACTGGATCTTATAAAATACCGGTATGCCAAAATCCAACGCTCCACTGCAGAAGAGTTGGATCATCTATTTTATTTTAAAAACCATCTCTATTTTTACAATCGCCGCGGTTCTGAGGAACAAAATAATTCTGTACCAAAACTACGTCACACGCTTGGTAGCAGTTAAAGGCGATGGTGAGTGAAGTTGTCGCTAGGGCGACTAGTCCAAACATTACTGTTGACGCATCCAGCTGGTTCCCTGTGACTGTGACACACAAAGCAGCAATACGACAATCACCGTCCATTCCATCAATACGATGCGTCGCGGTTATTTATTTATATCCTTTGACACTCCCACCAATCCCCTTCCCATGCGTGTCTCGTATGCCACAATTTCCGTCATCAACAACCCCACCTCCCCAGTCCCCATGAGTGTTTCCGAAATATAATAAGAATGGTCCCAACTTTAAAAAAAAAATAAAAATAATACAACCAATCGTTTTTCTCGTTCATATTCACTGCCAGATCTTCATTAGAGAGGGCTAAAACGTCCAAACCCGAAAATTTATTAATTTTTTTTAAATCGGGGAAAAATTTTTTCCACCGGGTCTCTGAAAATCGTAGTTTTGGAAGGTCTTGGCGTACAATCGTAAAAGACATCTAAAAATCGTACATTGTACGCCAAAATCGTAAGAGTAAACAGGTCTGCTGTTCAGCAACAAATAATATCAGTCCACGTATAAAGCCATTGACAACATAAGGAAGTAATGTAACATAAGGAAGTAATGTTGAAAAATTGCAGCAATGCTGAGCCAAAAAAGTTATGTTGAACCAGTGAAGTAATCTTGAACTAAAGCAGTAGAAGGAAAATGCTTTGTACATAAATATATTTTTCTAATTGTTAACATTGATATGATTTTAAAAAACAATAGTTAATATTAATATGATTATCAGGTACCAACCTCCCGGAAGCAATGTGCAAATCCATGATATAACTGTATCGAGCAGTATCAATAGTTTGTACAAGCATTTCTCTGATATTTGGTTTGTAGCCTTCTCTTTCAACAACTTTGATACAACTATTCCAGTGCAGCCAAGTACCTCGGCCTTTTTGCTGCACAGAATATCATCAAGAACCATGAAATGTTGCCTGGCTATGAGGCATTAAACAATTGAAGAGACTTGGTTATTCTGAGTCAAAGATTTTATACATATGGGAGTCCCATAAGACTAACCTAAACTGCTCTTGGGCACAGCAGTGGGGGGAGGGGGGCAGGGGCGTGCAAACAGAAGAAATAACAATTAAATATTTACATTTTTAAGTATTATTGTGAAATTTTAAAATTTACATCCATGCGCAATAACAATATTGAGCAGTAGATTTACAATGGCCATCTCTCCAGCTTGCGACGTCTTCCTCAGTTACAGGCAAAAAGCATTTGCTATTGTCTCTCACAAACCAGGATAAAACCATGTGTTCAAGAAAATTTCAGATTTGGTATTACAATAGTGATTTCAGGTAATTCATTACCTCATATAACTTTTGTCCTACATATCTATTGATATCTACTGTTATCTGCTGATAGTAGGTGCATAAACTATCACTTTTATATGTTTCGTTCACTCTGGTTCATAGCCTAAAAAACTTAATAAAAAAGAAATTGACAGGGGTGTTGGCCAAATGTAAAAAGTTGGGTGGGGGGGGGGGTTTAGATTTGTATTACAAAACATGAAACCTCCACAAATGATGGCTTGTTTGTGCAGCATCATTTACTGTGGTGCAATGTGAGGTGGAAAAAATAGCAACATATTTACCAATAGGTTTGCAACTAATTGTTTAGAAATGTGTGCTGCATGACACTGGAGAGTCTTGTTGCCCTGGGAAATCACTGCTTTCTCACAGGGATTCAGCAAAATTTTGAACAATTTCTTAATTTTAGGGCAGTGTTTCTCAAATGGTGGTCCGCGGACAGGCGCTGGTCCACGAGCCCTTACGTTGCTGGTCCGCACAACATGAATATTCATGGTCGAATAAAAAGAAAATGTAATTAATAAATCTGGCACCGGTCCCCAGTGCAATTTCCAAACGTGTCCACCGGTCCCTCAAACTTAAAAGTTTGGGAAACGATCTAGGGAGCCTGACAGTGAAGTATAAAGAATTTGTGGAAAAAATGTTTGACTTGACCTGAGCAGCACTAATCTAGCTAATTCATTGTAAAGATGTGGTGCCTGTTGACTGAAAACAGAAATACTCATTGACTCAGACCTCATCATAGAAATAATCATGGAATGTGAAAACTCACACCATAGATATAAATATGCACTGCAAAGTCACATCGTAGGCGGTACAGCTCACATCATAGAAATAACCAGAATGAGAAAACTCACATCATAGAAATAACCAGAATGAGAAAACTTACATCATAGAAATAACCAGAATGAGAAAACTCACATCATAGAAATAGTCATAAACTGTGTTTTCAGGGGGAAACATGACTTCCAGCTTTTTAATTTCTTCTGGTATCGGGAAATCCAAATTCTTGTTGTCCAGAAGATTAAAGTAAAACTCATGGAACTTTCTCCTTCCATCATTGTCTGTACATCCTGCTATAGTCCAGGGAATGCCAAACAGCAGCGCCCCCTGTCAATGAAAGGCAGTAAGTCATCATGAAATATAACATTGATTGCAATACTTAATTATGTGCATTGCAAGAAATGTCTATCGTTTGTAGGTGCTAAATCGGTTTATAGTATTCTTGTAATATTGTTCAATGTACACGAGAATATTGTACAAGGGGTCATCAATATTTTACTTCCATAGAAAGTGTTAGATTTTGACCCCCTCCAAACCCTCCCACTCTCAATGTTGCATGTTTTTTGGACACCTCCCTTCTCTGCATTTGTCAACAAATCAACAAAATCTCTTCCCTTAATTAATATAGTGATGGCCCCAAACCAAATTAGTCACGACAATTATTATTGTAAGATTCTTGAATAAGTTTAAAAGATGTCAGTCTATTTGAATAAGTTAACAGAAATGTAAAAACCAAATATGGCATGTCTATTTGAATAAGTTAACAGAAATGTAAAAACCAAATATGGCATGTCTATTTGAATAAGTTAACAGAAATGTAAAAACCAAATATGGCATGTCTATTTGAATAAGTTAACAGAAATGTAAAAACCAAATATGGCATGTCTATTTGAATAAGTTAACAGAAATGTAAAAACCAAATATGGCATGTCTATTTGAATACATTAACAGAAATGTAAAAACCAAATATGGCATGTCTATTTGAATAAGTTAACAGAAATGTAAAAACCAAATATGGCATGTCTATTTGAATAAGTAAACAGAAATACCAAAACAAAAGTGTCATGTCTATTTTTAATCCAAAGCATAATCCTTTTTAAAAAAGGTCAATGCAATAAAGAGAATATTTTAAAGGTGTCTAATAATATTTAAAGGTGTCTAATAATATTTAAAGGTGCCTAATAATATTTAAAGGTGCCTAATAATATTTAAAGGTGCCTAATAATATTTAAAGGTGCCTAATAATATTTAAAGGTGCCTAATAATATTTAAAGGTGTCTAATAATATTTAAAGGTGCCTAATAATATTTAAAGGTGCCTAATAATATTTAAAGGTGTCTAATAATATTTAAAGGTGCCTAATAATATTTAAAGGTGTCTAATAATATTTAAAGGTGCCTAATAATATTTAAAGGTGTCATAATATTTAAAAGGTGTCTACAAAATACAGAATTGATAAATGGAAGGGATGCTGAGAAGTGTTGAGAAAGAAAGAAGTTGCCAATTGAACTAAGGAATTTTTGGTCTGATAAGTCTCAACTCTGTAGAATTTAGGCAGAACATTTTTGAAGGAATTGTTTGTTGATGTTGCTTAGTTTACTTCAAATCAATACATAAAACTAATTGGAATTGTAAAAACTGTTTGCAGATTCTTGAAAAAATAATTCTATCTCCATTTTATTTAACTAGTAGAAATAAATCAGGGGAATATTATGTTCATTGAAATGGACAACTGTTTAATTGTAGGGGAAAGCTGATAAGAGAGCTTTTATTATGTTAATCAAAGGAAAGAGTTAATTTATGTATATTTTTTACTTTTAAATACAATATAAATTTAGCAATGACATAAAAAGAAATAAGGAATAAATGTTAAAAAAAAACAACTATTTCACAATTAGCTATTGGCTACATAATTTGATTTTTTTAAAAAATCTACCAACTTTGCAGAAAACGGCAAGTGACAACATCATTATGTGGTTAGCAGGTAATGAGAAGTAAGCACAGTGACAAGAGTGTACGTACACAATAGTAGGACTTGAGATGTTTATTGGTGGCTGCATGTTCCGCTGTCAGAACATCGTTGAGCTGCATGTCAATAAAACTGAGCAATGAAACAACCTGATTGGAATGGCTGGCTTGATTATACTCCTGTCAACAGTTCAAACATTGACAAGGTTATTGAACCCAGTGACCTCTGTCCAGTGTAATTTATTATGCTGTATGATAAAATAAGTATAATTGTTTTATGTAATGTCCCAAGTTAAAATCCGACTGTAAAAAGCATTCATTCAGCAAACTGTGTGATAAAATTAAACACCACATACGTTTTGTGAAATTTAACTCACATAAGGGTTGAACAACTTACCTCATATTAGTGTTGTACAAATGACCTCACATACATGATGTTCAACTTGCCTCACATAACTGTACTACAACTTACCTCACATATCTGTACTACAACTTACCTCACATATCTGTAGTACAACTTACCTCACATATCTGTAGTACAACTTACCTCACATATCTGTAGTACAACTTACCTCACATATCTGTAGTACAACTTACCTCACATATCTGTAGTACAACTTACCTCACATATCTGTAGTACAACTTACCTCATTTATTGTTCTATAACTTATCTCACATGCTATGGTTGGTGCTGCCAGAGTAGGCCAAATATTTGTATGCCATCCACACCTCTATGAAAAAAAACTTCAGTTGGCCAAAAATGCTGCGGCATATTATTTTTAAAAAGTACTTCCTAGGGGGATTGGCCCCTCAGATCCCACCCTTGCTATGCAACTCTTACAAATTACCTTACATAAGTGGCATAACATTACATAATCCTCTATGAAAATTTGCCGCCTCAACTTTGCCACCAACATTTCGCTTCTGGGCCATATTGCCTCCGCCATTTTGCCAGCATTAATGAAGAAAAATTTAATTAAAAAATTGATATTTTAAATACACAGGCGATTATAAAAATGCTGAAATTTTGAGAACATTTTTCTATGTAAACTTATAAGTTTATGTGTCCATTGTTATATGTAGGTTGTTTGTTAGTTCCACATAATCGCCTCGATGGATAATTGATATGGGAAAAAACGTTTTATATTTTAATTGATGGTTTTAACACTTCAAATGCTACTCAACAAAAGAACCCCCACCCCATAAAAGAACTCCTCCAAGAAAACCACTACAGACAAAAGTCCTTAGCCACAAGCACTACAGACAAAAGTCCTTAGACGAAAGCACTACAGAAAAAAGTCCCTAGACGCAAGCACTACAGAAAAAAGTCATTAGCCACAAGCACTACAGAAAAAAGTCCCTAGACGCAAGCACTACAGAAAAAAGTCCTTAGCCGCAAGCACTACAGAAAAAAGTCCCTAGACGCAAGCACTACAGAAAAAAGTCCTTAGACACAAGCACTACAGAAAAAATTCCTTAGACACAAGCACTACAGAAAAAAGTCCTTAGACGCAAGCACTACAGAAAAAAGTCCTTAGACGCAAGCACTACAGAAAAAAGTCCTTAGACGCAAGCACTACAGAAAAAAGTCCTTAGACGCAAGCACTACAGAAAAAAGTCCTTAGACGCAAGCACTACAGAAAAAAGTCCTTAGCCACAAGCACTACAGAAAAAAGTCCCTAGACGCAAGCACTACAGAAAAAAGTCCTTAGCCGCAAGCACTACATCCAAAAGTCCTTAGACGAAAGCACTACAGAAAAAAGCCCTTAGACGCAAGCATTACAGACAAAAGTCCTTAGACGAAAGCACTACAGAAAAAAGTCCTTAGCCACAAGCACTACAGAAAAAAGTCCTTAGCCGCAAGCACTACAGAAAAAAGTCCTTAGATGCAAGCACTACAGAAAAAAGTCCTTAGACACAAGCACTACAGAAAAAAGTCCTTAGCCACAAGCACTACAGAAAAAAGTCCTTAGACACAAGCACTACAGAAAAAAGTCCTTAGACACAAGCACTACAGAAAAAAGCCCCTAGATGCAAGCACTACAGAAAAAAGCCCTTAGCCACAAGCACTACAGAAAAAAGCCCCTAGACGCAAGCACTACAGAAAAAAGCCCTTAGCCACAAGCACTACAGAAAAAAGCCCCCTAGTTTGACTGGTGTGGTTTTTAGCTGGAATGCATGGCTTTTTTTTTTTTGGGGAGTGGGGTGGGGGGGGGGGGGGGGTTCATTTAAATTAGGAAAGTTTTAAGTGAAAAATTTAATTCTGGAAGTACTTTGAAATGAATAAACTGAGCACTGATTCACTGACCGCTTATCTTCTTAATCCACAAATACAATTGGTGCTGAACTGTTCTCACTCCCGTCAGTCTACTCTCAAATAAACAGGGTGGGCCATATAAAACTTGTACACATTAGCTATATTTTATACAGGCGATCACGACTTCATCACATTTCCGATTACACAGAGATGTCCCTAATTTTTGTGTGTTTCTCTAGTTTGTTGTAAACTGAAGATATTTAAGTTATTATTGAATGTTTCACATTGTTTCAATCCCCTCTACATTTAAATTATCACTTTTAAATTTAAATCATTTTATCTCTTTGTCTAGGAAAAGGACAGCGGTAAAATGTCCCAGTGGAGGAATGTCTCAGCAACAAAACGGTGGTGGCAAAGTGGCAGCGGTGAATGGTCTCATCCTCATAATTCTCAAACAACATACCTTACATGAGTGTCGTACAAAGTCAATGCAAGGCTGTACTAACCACTCCGTCAACTGCTGAATGAAAGCTGGGATATCGGGTGTTAAAAAAGTAGGTAATGTATTTAGCCAGGACTTGACTAAAGGTCTCCATCCCAAAGTGGAAGGCTCAAGGTAAATCATGCCACAACGAGAAACAGTGGCTGGCTGGAAAATAGAAAAACTTAAAATTGATTGCATATTGACTGCTTGTAGAATGCCTTGACGTCCTCCTCCCAGCACTCACCTCCATCGTAAATTCTTCGATTCTCTCTGGCATATTTTCTCCCATTTTTAAACGGTCGATTGTCCTGCCCCTCCTAAAGAAACCCTCACTTGATCCAAACACACTCAAGAATTACCCCCCCCCCCGTCAGCAACCTCTCCTTTCTCTCAAAAATCATAGCAAAACTCATACTCTCTCAGCTCTCTGGCTATCTTCATTCTCGCAATCTCTATCCTTCCTCTCAGTCCGCCTACCGACTTGGTCATAGCACAGAAACAGCACTGGTCCGAGTCATGAGTGACCTCCTGCGCGCGATGGACGATGGCAAACTCTCTATTCTCACTCTGTTAGATCTCTCTGCTGCATTTGATACCATTGACCACCAGATTCTT